TTTACCTTAATTAATGTCTATTAAATTTATTGATAACTTGAATAGCAACATTATTACAGTATTATCATTTATGCGTAATTATTACAAGACTTTTTTCCTGATAACTTTTCGCAATTCAATTCCTCAAATCACAGTCAGTGACCTCAAACATACCAAATCCAAGTTTGAAACAAATCGGCTCATCAATACAAAAGTCTGCCAACTTTATCTTTGTTAAATTTAGGTTAAAACTCATATTTGGCGGCCTTAAACATCCCCAAGTTTAGGACAATCGGTTCATTAGGAAAATCCGCCATTTTGATATTTTTAGGTTTAGATCAAAGATTGTATTAAGACCACCAAGTTTCTAGTTTGAGACAAATCGGTTCTTAAACGGAAAAAACCGCCATTTTGATTTCCTTGATTTTTTGTCAGAAATCACAATTAGCGACCTCAACTCAACAACCCCCAAGCTTAAGTAAATCTATTCATAAGTATAAGAATAGTAAGATTGTCCCCTATTTTGCTGTTAACTACGAAAGCGTAGAGGGCCACGGTGAAAAAAAAAGACAGTTATATCTTCCATTAGTGCTACTGCTAATTGACATTTACATTTGCAAATTAGGCTAATTCCTAGTTCTGTCTGTTAAGTTAATGCTAATTGACACTTACAAAAAAAGGGGACATAACGGATCCTACTAATTATCGACCTATTTCACTAGTTACGCACTTATCTAAAATTTTCTTAAAACTAATAAGAAATCGGCTTCAATCATACTTGAACAAATTTAATATAATATCTGAACAGCAGTACGGATTTAGAGAAAAAAAATCAACGGAAGATGCTATTCTAAACCTAACTTCAAAAATAACAACTTCCCTAAATGAAAGCAAGCCATGTTTGTGCATTTTTATTGATCTGTCGAAAGCTTTCGACACTGTATGTCACAATCTACTCCTACAAGCCTTAGAGAGCATTGGCATACGAGGTAATTCGTTAAAATTGTTTAAAAGCTATTTAAATGAGAGATTTCAGGCAGTAAGAGTGGATGGATTTTCCAGTAGATGACAAGCTATCGAATATGGGGTACCACAGGGATCTATACTGGGTCCTATTCTTTATAACATATATATAAATGATTTGTTTTTACAGGGAAGTATAGGAAACATAACTGGGTTCGCGGATGACACAGCTATTTTCTATTCTGACGATAGCTGGATTAACTTAAAAACTAAAGCGGAACAAGACTTTCTAATTATTAAAAAAATTTTGGATAAAAAATTATTGACTATAAATATAGAAAAAACACATTGTTTACCATTTAGCTGCAATTCATATGGTGCACCACCGTTTGATCACCTAAAAATTACTGATGGCGGAGACTCTTTTTTCATTTCAAATAAAAATAAAATTAAATACCTTGGAGTAATAATAGACCCTTTTTTAAAATGGAACCTACACATATCCTACACGGTAAATAAACTACGCAGTATTTTGTACAAATTCAAATTTTTAAAAGATATTTTACCATTACACCATCTTAAAACCCTTTATTGTGCTCTAGTTGAAAGCCATCTTCGATATGCAATCACTGTGTGGGGTGCAGCTTTGAAAACACACCTTCACTCTTTAGAAGTCACACAAAGGCGATTTCTGAAGTTAATTTATTCAAAAAAATCTAGATATCCTACAGAAACCTTGTATACCGAAACAAAAATAATGGATATAAGACAATTGTATTTTGTTTTTGCTGTAGCAACAAATATCATGTTCGTAAACCTCAAGGTCTAGTATATCATGAATATAATACTAGACAAAAATGTCGTTATTTAGCTCCATTAATGTTCAAAGTGGTTTCACAGAGATCATTTTCCTATTTCGCACCCAAACTGTATATAATTCCTGAGAGCATTCAAACTGAATCAAACTTGTACACTTTTAAAAAAAGACTAAAACAATTTATTTTAGCTAACTCTCGCAGTACGATCCATGGTTATTTTGAAAATTAAACATTATCCCAAAAAAAAATGATTGTGCAGGTTTTTAAGTTTTTAAGATTTTAGATTATAGATTTTAATTTTTTGAGTTTTTTATATTAAAATATTAAAATAAAAAATGCTAATATAATTTATAGCACCTACATTATGTTATAATTTTAATTTATTTATGTTTAAATCGATTTTAGTAATTTATGTTACTTTTAAATATTATTTTAGATTTTAAATATATTTCTTTTGTTTTTTCGAAACAAGCGTTTATACGCTTATCGAGTATATTTTATTCACAGATACCGTTTTTTAAATTTGTATAATACTTTGTAATTGTAATTATTATTGTATTTTTTTGTGAATAAATTATTATTATTATTATTATTATTATTATCTATCAATTAATGCTAATTAACATTTACATCTATCAATTAGGTCTAAGTGTCAATTAATTAGCATTAATCGACAGCCAGAACTGGGAATCAGGCCTAATTGACAGATATACCTAAGGCCAATTAGTAGTAATTGACAGCTAGAACTGGGAATTAGACCTAATTGACAGATGTAAGTGAAAATTAGCACTAATTGACAGATATCACTGTCAAGTGTCAATTATATATTTTTTTCACTGTGATTCTTCTACGCTTTCGTAGTTTACAGTAAGATTCATCAAAAATTAGAATGATAGATGGAATGTCATCAGATTTGATACTGACTTCCATATTGTTGTATGAATAACTTGTCAAATCAGATACCTCTGTCAAACACTTTAAACGTGAATTAAAAGTTTTGAGTAACGGGGCACATTATTAGTCAAAAATTGTATTCAGCGACTTGTTTAAACAACGCGAAATTTAAAGTTTGAGTCAACTCGATTAATATATAAGAAGGTCCATAAGTAATAATTTCTATTGTTATTAAAAATCAAAACCCTGTGCACCTACCAATTTTCAAGTCTCTAGCTCATCCGGACGTAGGTAAAAAAATTGAAATGTATCAATAGTGATATACAGTATGGTTCAAATGAAAGGAATAAATTCATTATAATGGAAGTAGTTGGTTTTTCGAAAAAATTCTCAGACAGGTCAATTTTGTTTACTCAAAGCGCAATTTTTTAAGTAGAATTCAATTTTCCCCCACTTCCCTTTTGGGTAGTGACGTCATTGACAATTTTTTTAAATAGTAACTCCAATTTTTTTTCTTGAACCATACTGTATGTTTTTATATTTACTACATAAGTTAAATACTCATAAATATAAAACTGCCTACAGTTCATCAAATTTCTAGAGGTGTTCGACGCCCAGACAGAGAACGCGCTACGTGTGACTAAGATAGCTATTGTACAGTCTGCTAAACAAGTTATTTTAAATAGTTTTTAATATTTTTAGGTAATTAAATTTTAAAAGTGTGGAATAGTTTAGGGATTAAATTGGTCTGATTGGACTTTCTTAGAACGTTTTTAAAAGCAGCTAAAGATAGTATGTAGAATTGAAAATAATTATTATGCCATAAAAGGTGTTTTGGAATTCCTTCAACCTTTTGAAATTGAGTCAGAAAATATAAATTTTATAGGATAGCGGAAAATACCTATAATTTTTTTGTAGGCCTTTGTAAATCGTGGAAATAGTTTATATTTTATTTCTACCTTATTAAGGAAAATGGTACCTATTATTAATAACGGTTGTTTCTGAAACATTACTAAAATTTTCGAAATTTTGTTTTTCTACAAAATAATAAACTATACTATTTAGAAAACAAATTTATTTCTCTTATAATTTTATAAAAAATAACAGGGGAATATTTACATTTCTTGATCTATTAAACAAAACGATAAATTATCTCGACGAATGACACCATGTTCTAGTACGGAAGCTAGCTTTACATTTTTGTTGGTGGTTTCATGGGTTTCATATCAATTTTTTGTAATTGTAGTTTACACGTACATATACCTCTTAACACTTGTTTGCTTTATTAAAAAAGTGTGTTGTTGTGATTTACGTCGAAATAAGTCAAAAACAACTTGAAACCCCATATAAAATCAAAAAGGAGAAACGGAAAAAAATTGAGCCTGTAAATGAACACAACTCAGAAACAAAAATAGCTATCTAATAATAAAAAAATAAAATTTGATTCTTGTGCAGCTTCATCTATATCATTAACTGTTTTTGGTTTTCAATGGTTTTTCTTGGTGATGAAAATTCCGATATCTCACGGTTATCGATTCTTTTTTTCTCTCCAGAAATGCGGACGACAGTGTTTTTAGATACTCCTGTGGCTGCAGCAACACGATCATTTACATTTTTAAATGGTATTGAAGGTGAATTAAAGTTTCCTTCTCTTCTCATAAACTCTATAACATTGGCTATTATTTCGCGAGATTGACTGTTAATCACGCGGCCTCTTAATTTGCTATTAAACTCCATACTTAGGTTCTATTAAACTGTAATGAGCAAAAAACACAAACGAAAATAAAAGAAATGTTTTAGCGAAATTTACATCTGACATTTACGTCTGAATGAAATAGTGAAATACTTGATGCGCAGAGTGTACTTTCATTGCGTAAATCCGTCGGGATGCCTGTCAGGAGTACTTTCTCTGTCTAGCCGTCGAATGCCTCTAGAAATTTGATGAACTGTAATGACCAAACCTTTATTATAAATGTAAACTACAAAAGAGTTTTACTTCAAATTACGTCGAGCAGTGTAAACATCACTTTCAAGATCAGTTCATAATTCGAGCAGTGTTTTAGTGTGTCCTTCCGTCAATAACGTCAAACGAGAGAGAAAGAAAATTGGCACCACCCAAGATTAAAGACACCGACGCTTTATATCGCTACTCAACGGTTAATATACTTTGGTGTCTCTTTCAACTACATATGGTATTCCACAAGGATCCAACAATGGAATCAATATTATTTTTTTTCGTGAATTGTCCAATAAAGCCATAAATCTGGTGTCCTGTCCATGTTGCTCAACCCTGTTATATTTTAGAACAAATTTTTACAAATTCAAAATTATTTTTCTTTTTTGCAGGTGTATCCCTGTCATCGGACCCAAATTTTTGCAAGAGATCATCTGGTTCGAAATGCGACCATAAGTGCGGTGGTGAAAAAGATTTAGTATGTGGTACCGATGGCCGGACGTACCTCAACAGATGCATGTTACAAGTGGAAATTTGCAGGTAAAAGTTCTTAATTCCATATAACAAATAATATAGTTTAATTCCTGGTCTAATACCAATGACAAATATTTGCAAGATAAAAATTCCTAATTGTTTTTTTTTATAATATTAACATTTCTTCCATATTGGTATTTGGTTTCAAAATAATGTTATATTTTTCTCCTTGTTGATATAAATTCGTATTATTTTTATTCACAATTTCATTCATAGTATCATCGATACATTTAATTAATTTTCGTCCCTTACTTCCATATATTTTTATAATCTTCATGTTCTTGTTTTTAAGTTCTTAACCATCTTAATTTTGCTTCTCTCTTTCAAACCAATTATTTTTCTAGATGTTTGTCTTCCAGTTACTGTTTCTGATGTTTCGATTATATCTTTAATTTTGTTTCATTCCTCTTCTAGGTTTTGTTTTCCTACAAGTTCGCTAATTTCTCCTCTTCGAGCATATAAATGCTCGAAGTTTCTCCTGCATACTTTCTTTTATTCTATTCGTCTTTTAATATTTCTAGATTCCACCTTTTTTTATTTTCTTTGTATTCCTACCTTATATAATTCCTAGTTTCTATTTGTGGCATTGCTAGGAGATATTTCCTTAAAATGATAAACAAATTAAATATCCCTTAATATTTTCTAGGTACATTTAAAAATGCTTTAAAATTAGACTATAAGTAAAATCAACTTACTAAATATTATTCATCCATTTTAAGTGGAGCAATGTTAATTTTGAATTTTGAAAATCGGCAAAACAAATGTTGACTAAATTTTTTTAGACTTGGTATAGGACTTTCCCATTTAGGTCCTTGCAACAACATTAGCGCCCACAGAGAAAATTGTCCCGTTGACTGCAAACAAGCCCCATTGGATGGACCGATTTGCGGCAGTGACGGCAATGTCTACAAGAGCACCTGTCAAATGAAGCTGTTGACGTGTGGGTAAGGAAAAACTTTTATTTAACAATTATTTTCTTATATCCTTCAACCATACTATATCGAGTGGCTGTATAGTCAATTACTGGCCTTTAGTGGAAAGCAACATACTGGTTCAGATCCCAGAGTAGACCGTGTTAATTTTTAATTAATTTACATGGTTTGTTGTAGTATTTGATGGGTGCAGTATTGGTAGTAGATTAATTTCTTCGTCCCATCATTATTTCAATGGGTCCAAGCAAAAAATTCCTATTATATTGGTTTCTTCATACAGATGGTTAGAAGTAGTTTCTCACCAGATATATTTTTGGTATTCTCACATTGATATAGTAAAAAAATATATAAAAGAAGTCAATTTTGTTAATCATTTTATATTGACATCAAAAACAAATTATCCATCAACTCCTTACATGTACGTATGGTGACCGATACAGGATTATTAGATATGGATAATTTTAAAATTCTGCGTAATCAAGAAGGAAGAAATGCTGGCCTTGTTAAGAAATTTAGAAGATAAAAGTAATAGAATTTCTAGTATAGATGAAAATGTTCAACAAGGCCTATTCCTAGAAAAGATCACAAAACAAGATTTAGAAGAGGAATTTGTAGTAGAAAAGACAATTTATAAATCTCCTTACACATATATATTTTATATATTTACTATTCCTCTTCTAAATTACCTTTACAACAATTTTTTGTTTGTTTTTGTAGACAAGGAGTAGTAAGGACCAACAAAAAATACTGCCAGACAACGAGACACTGCAGAGAATCCTGTTGGAGAAACGCAAAACCTGCTTGCGGTTCAGACGGAAAACTATACGCAAATGTATGCAGAATGAAGGCAAAAAATTGTGGGTAAGTCGTTATTTATCTAACAAGGGTGTTATAAGGATATTTACAGTTCATCAAATTTCTAGAGGCTTTCGACGGCTAGACAGAGAAAGCACTACTGACAGGCATCCCGACGGATTTACGCAATGAAAGTACACTCTGCGCATCAAGTATTTCACTATTTCATTCAGACGTAAATGTCAGATGTAAATTTCGCTAAAACATTTCTTTTATTTTCGTTTGTGTTTTTTGCTCATTACAGTTTAATAGAACCTAAGTATGGAGTTTAATAGCAAATTAAGAGGCCGCGTGATTAACAGTCAATCTCGCGAAAAAATAGCCAATGTTATAGAGTTTATGAGAAGAGAAGGAAACTTTAATTCACCTTCAATACCATTTAAAAATGTAAATGATCGTGTTGCTGCAGCCACAGGAGTATCTAAAAACACTGTCTTTCGCATTTCTGGAGAGAAAAAAAGAATCGATAACCGTGAGATATCGGAATTTTCATCACCAAGAAAAACCATTAAAAAACCAAAAACAGTTAATGATATAGATGAAGCTGCACAAGAATCAAATTTTATTTTTTTATTATTAAATAGCTATTTTTGTTTCTGAGTTGTGTTCATTTACAGGCTCAATTTTTTTCCGTTTCTCCTTTTTGATTTTATATGGGGTTTCAAGTTGTTTTTGACTTATTTCGACGTAAATCACAACAACACACTTTTTTAATAAAGCAAACAAGTGTTAAGAGGTATATGTACGTGTAAACTACAATTACAAAAAATTGATATGAAACCCATGAAACCACCAACAAAAATGTAAAGCTAGCTTCCATACTAGAACATGGTGTCATTCGTCGAGATAATTTATCGTTTTGTTTAATAGATCAAGAAATGTAAATATTCCCCTGTTATTTTTTATAAAATTATAAGAGAAATAAATTTTTTTCTAAATAGTATAGTTTATTATTTTGTAGAAAAACAAAATTTCGAAAATTTTAGTAATGTTTCAGAAACAACCGTTATTAATAATAGGTACCATTTTCCTTAATAAGGTAGAAATAATATATAAACTATTTCCACGATTTACAAAGGCCTACAAAAAAATTATAGGTATTTTCCGCTATCCTATAAAATTTATATTTTCTGACTCAATTTCAAAAGGTTGAAGGAATTCCAAAACACCTTTTATGGCATAATCATTATTTTCAATTCTACATACTATCTTTAGCTGCTTTTAAAAACGTTCTAAGAAAGTCCAATCAGACCAATTTAATCCCTAAACTATTCCACACTTTTAAAATTTAATTACCTAAAAATATTAAAAACTATTTAAAATAACTTGTTTAGCAGACTGTACAATAGCTATCTTAGTCACACGTAGCGCGTTCTCTGTCTGGGCGTCGAACACCTCTAGAAATTTGATGAACTGTATATCCCATAAGCTACAGGTCTAAATCGTCAAAAGTTGATGTAGAGTAGATATAGGAAAAATGTAACAAATTTTTTAAATGTATGCTCTTTGTTTTAGGAAACATGTGTTTGAAGTCCCGATGGCCTACTGCGCAAGTCAGGAACGTACGTCGCATGGTTCTTCCTGTCCAACAGGATGTAAAAACGAAATAGAGAAGCCTACTTGCGGTTCTGATGGTTACATTTATAGGAGTGAATGTGAATTAAAATTATTAAATTGTGGGTGAGTTTCAAAATATTCCTATTCATTCTAGTAGGTACAAACTATAATTAAAGTAAAATAGCGCATTACCAGTCCCAAAAGTAACAGATCTTTTAACATGACTTAGTGATGACAGAGGTAGGTATCTGACTACATTCGCCAAATATCTAAATTAGGTTGTCACTTTATATAAAGTAGAGTTTAGTATATATTATGTTCATTTGTGAATATTTAGTCATTGAATTGTTATTGAATTGTTATTGAATTGTTATTGAATTGTTATTGAATTGTTATTGAATTGTTATTGAATTGTTATTGAATTGTTATTGAATTGTTATTGAATTGTTATTGAATTGTTATTGAATTGTTATTGAATTGTTATTGAATTGTTATTGAATTGTTATTGAATTGTTATTGAATTGTTATTGAATTGTTATTGAATTGTTATTGAATTGTTATTGAATTGTTATTGAATTGTTATTGAATTGTTATTGAATTGTTATTGAATTGTTATTGAATTGTTATTGAATTGTTATTGAATTGTTATTGAATTGTTATTGAATTGTTATTGAATTGTTATTGAATTGTTATTGAATTGTTATTGAATTGTTATTGAATTGTTATTGAATTGTTATTGAATTGTTTAATTTAAAAGCAAAATAATTAAAAACAAAGCCCTGCTATCAAGATACACTCCAAGGTTGTAATGAATTCATTTTCATTACTATATTCCTAGTCAATTGCCAGATCTGTATTTCAATTTTTGTTTAAATATAACTTTATGCTTGTACCCTGTGTAGTAACTTTTTTCGATTGGGAATCAGATTTGCTAAGAAAAATGATTCTCGATGCGCAAACCTCAATCTCTAGGCGATTTTACTGGATTACGATGACAGCTTGTTGCTTGTGGTTACTTATTACCTGTGTCTAAGTAATATTTGACACCTGACCTTTTTCGTCTCCATCTGTAGCTACCCAAGACTTTCGATGCCAATTTAAGAGTTTTTTTTTTAAATATTCTGGCGCCCGAGTGTCGTCCTTAACAGGCGTCACTGGTAAGGAACTTTAGCGGGAAAATCACTTACTCAGCCACAGTATTTATTTAGACATGCAAATCATCTATTTCCACATAATTAACATTCTAATAATTGTTTCATCTGTCAGTGTAACTTTAGTAGGTGTTTAAGTTTTATGAACCAAATAGCACAAATTGTTTGGGTTTGATACGTTTCCCAGTGTTAGAGTATTTACTTCAATGTCACTAAAATTTTGATACATAAGAAAGTAAACGCTAAATTAGTGATAACGTAATTTGTGTTCCAATGACAAATGACAACGACAGTATGTCAATATTAATGAAAGAATGTTTTTTTTTTATTTTTAAGGACCGCTACAGGCTACTTTAGTGTTACTTTAGAACCCGGTGAATGACATTTTACAGGTGTTTCCACTCTTTTTAAAATATGGCACCAAAAACTGCATAATATATAAAAAATCCACTAGATGTCGGAAGAAGGTGAAAAGTACCTCAAATGAAAACAAATAATGACTGCGAACTGTCAGAAAAAGTCAGTTAATTTTATCTTTATCTGTATCCAAATTTTTTTAAATAATGGTAATTTATTAATGTTTACTAATTATACTCTATGTAACAAACGAAATGAAAAGTGAAAACGAGAAGAAAAATACTACACCACATATTAATAATAATAACCACCCATATATTTCATCAAATAAAAGTGAGAACATTACTATTTTTCATTATTTTTAGTGTACAAGACAACAATAATTAAATAAGAATAATAGTGGGTATTCTTTCCTACAAAACTATAAATATTGTTCAAATGGATTTGGAAAAAATAAGTGTTTAGTGCCGTAGAAAAGTAGGTATTAAGTTATAACTGCCATATTTTAAATCGTCTTTATTTTATTTCTACATCGTCGACTTCTACTTTTGATATCTAAATTAAAATTTGACATCAGTACATCCAAGTACATCATTCATATCTAAGATCAACAATAACTAGACTAGACAATAACTAGACCTCAACAAAGATAAAAGAAGCATTACTTTAAACTAACAACAATAAATTATATTGCAAAATTATTAGAGTTATAAATGAAATACAATTAAATTTGTTTGTAAATATATGTCATTACCGTGAACATTAGTATAATAACCTGTCAAATGATTGACCAATCATCTGATAGATCTTGAAGTTGGATACATGTTGATGGTAAAATATACTTTATCTAATTCTTATAATGGTCACCTTCTAACGACCTCTGGTGGATTTTTTGGAACGAAGTTGTGCTTGGTGCCATGTCGTCTTTTGTTTTTATATGGGATTTTAGGGAAGTTGAAACACCTGTAATAATTGTCTTTCATCGTGCTTTAGGAAGAGCACTGTTCATCTAACCTAACCTAATTTTCTCTTATTTTTAGTAACGCCAGACGAGTAGTAAAAGTAGACTACGAAAAATGCCGTACCAAAATCTCCAAATGCATAAAAATCAAATGTTCCAACGACTACGATCCCGTTTGCGGGACAGACGCTAGAACCTACACGAACCAATGTCAACTGAACTTGGCAACGTGTCTGAAAGGTGTCCAATTTGCTCACATAGGAAACTGCACGAAATTGAAAGAGCAAGATCCTTGTCCGGCAAAATGCAATGAGGATTTTGAAGACGAACCCATTTGCGGATCAGATGGTAATGTCTACAAGTAAGTTAAATTATTTTTTATCAACAATAAAAGATAAGAGATGTGCAATAACGTCACGATTTGGATTGGAGTGGCATTGACAGTACATTCTGATTCCTGAAATCTGGTTGGTATACAGAACTTGTTTACTGAAAATCGGTTGACGAAAACAACCGATCTTTTCCAGCGGTTAAAGTGATTGAAGACACTAACAATTGTTTACATAAATTGTTGTTGTTTGTTGTTAACAAAAAACAGTAACATTTTGTTTCCATGTTATATTAAAGAAATACTTTCTGGTATTCATAGCAACTCTGAGCCTTCTACAGAGTTATTCTTCCACATTGCTCGAGTCAAACAGTATATTATTGAAATATAGAATAGTGCTGCTTCATCCATTTATTAGAGAGTTATCGCAAGTTCACTTAAGGTCAGTCACTATTAGTGTCGCTCTTATTTTGACATCTGTGCATGCGCAGATCACTTACATTCATTCTATAACTGAGTTTAATAAAGATTGTGCCTGTCCGTAATTGTGAATGTTTAAGGACAGCAGTTAGTGGCGACTTTATAGTTTTCGGGTGTGCTCGCCAACATTCGAATCAGTTCGAAGTATTTTAATATTAAATATTTATTACCTTCTTCATCTAAACCTTCTAAAATGGTAATTTTTAATGCCTCTTTCATATTTTGTACTATTATAAACAACAAAAAAGATGATCTGTAATTTAAAATTTTTAAAATGAGGTAGAAATATTTATAAGGACAAGGGTTCTAATGTCAAAATTTCAGGTTTGCAATAAGTCTTATTTTAGCATGGAATTTATTTGCCTCTTATTACGTTGTCATTATTAGTGGTTGACGTTATAAAAATTTGCAATATCTCTTCAATATCACAGGACGAACATATAGTATTGTAAACATGACACATTTTAATCAAAGGTGATCTGTAGAGAATGTTCGTTCTGCCTGTGGAGAAATAAAATTAACAGTACTTATTATTTTGTATCAGGCATAGCCGTGCTTTCAGAGCTAACATGTGGCAACTACAATTTTATTTATTTGTATACAAGTCGTATGCCTTACACGAAAAAATAAGTACTATATATGATTGCCGGGCGTCGATTCTTGGAAGTAGAAAGTTAACGTCCTTAAATAAGTGAGGGCAGTCAATGCTATTATTTAAAAGTTTATACAAAAACGTAATTGCAGCTTTATTTCGCCGGTCTTTAAGTGATAAAATGTTGAATATGAGGAGTAGTTTAGAGTGATAGAAGCCTTTTTCTGAGTAGTAACCAGAGCACTTATAAAATGGGTATTTTATTAAACATTTCCGCTGGACAGACTATGTACTATGGATATGCTCCTGGTAAATGGGTTACCAAATCAAAGAGGCGTATTCTATCTTGCTTCGAATAAATGAATTAAACAATATCTTTAAACTATTAAAATTCACGAAACTCGACCAGCTGCTTGCAAGGTAACGTAATAATTTGCTCGATGCCGATTCAACCTGCAAATGTTAGTTTTGTATCAAAGACGACTCCGGTCTTTGAAACTACTGCATCTAGCCAAGACATCGATATCAATATATAATAGGATATATCTCTCTTGAAAATTACATGACTTTACACTTACCAAAGTTTAATTTGAGATAATTATTGGAGCGCCAATTAATCATAATATTCAACTTCTCCTGTAGGAGTAAACATTTGGATCGTCCGTTGATCTTTAAGTATATCTGAAAGGTCGTTGATGTAAATAAGAAACAAGACCGGTTGGAACCCTGAGGTACACCGGATGTCGCAGCATACTGTTGCGACTTAAATCTCCCCTAATTCACATACTTTCTATCAATCAGAAAGATAAGAATATTAGTAGTGCTAGCAATTGTTCAGAAAATCCAAAGTGTTTTAATTTTACAAACAATAACCCAAATAACACGCGAGGTCTGAAAGACGTCTTTTTTTGTGTCTTGGTTTGGTCTCAATGTCCTAGGACGTTATTAGGACGTCTTACGTCTGGCAAAAGCCATAATTCAGACGTATTAACGTAAGAACTCAAAGACGTTCTTAAGACGTCTTGAAGACGTCTTGCCAAATCCATATATTAATGTAAAAGCTTAAAGACGTCTTTATGATGTCGTACAAACGTCTTTCAGTCGGACGGAAACTTGAACGGTTTACATAATTCAATTTTAAATTATTTTATATTATTATAGGTTATAGAATTAACAATAAAAATAATAAATGTGTTATTTAAGACCATTATAAGTCATTAATAAAACATCTTAAAGACGTCTTATTTATAGCTTCATAAGGCCATTATAAGCTATTAATAAGTCGTCTTAAAGAGGTCTTATTTATGGCTTATTTAATGCTTCACAAGATCATTATAAGCTATTAACAAGTCGTCTTAAAGACGTCTTATTTGTGGCTTATTTTAAGCTCTACCATTATAAGCCATTAATAAGATGTCTTAAAGATGTATTCTTTTGTAACATCAGACGTCTTCTACGACGTCTTAAAGATGTCTTTCAGGAAATACCAGACGTTTTAAAGACGTCTCCTTTGTCTTATGCTAGACGTCTTTAAGACGACTTTGAGCTATCTGGGAAATTATGGTTTCTTTTGTCAAAAGCAACTAAAAAGTACATTTAAAGAGTACAACCTATTTGTATACTTTATAATCTTCTATAAGATTAATATAAAGAAGAAAAAATAAATGTTATATAGGATCGTGACGATCCAATGGCGTTATAGAATATTGCAACTTCTTTCGTCAGTACATGCTACACCGATATCTCCATCAGAATCGTTATCATTCTGGAATAATATATAATAGGTTGGACGGTCAATTCGGGCATGGGCTTATATATCATAGGGGTTTCAAAGATTGACTTAGTTTATAGAATATTTTTTGTGACGGGAAAAATAGAGGCCGTAGAAGACCCAAATAAGGCAGAGAGAGAGACTTGCGTGATTAAGCACCGGACTGGCTCGCATGATAATGTAAGACGTATAGCCTTAGACGTTTTTTAACAATATAAAAAATGTAATGTAATTATCAGTAAACAGTATTTTAAATTTTAATTTCAGATCGTTATGCCACTTGAAAAAAGAAACTTGTGGCCAACTAGTCATTCAGGTGCCTCTGCATCACTGCAGAACCACGGCGTCCTGCAACGAACAATGTACCGAAGACAAAAATTTCGTCTGCGGCTCGGACAATAAATTGTACAAAAACGAGTGCGAGATGAGGCGAAACAACTGCGGGTGAGTAAAAAAATTGTCAGTAGTTCACATGTACCTGCTTACTATAATAGTTTTCCAGCTCTAATGTTATTAGTTTTAGTTCTTTGTTATAAAACATCACTTTCGCTTTCAATTGTAATCTAAAAACTAATAAATTTAATTGAATTTTAAATCTAAACCAGTCGATTAAAAGGTAGTTCATTTGTACGATATCATTTCAATATTTCTTCTTTCAAAAGCTGCTTCTTATGTATAGTAGTTCAAATGTACCTTTACATTTTATGCCATGTACATTTTTTAAATCCTTTAAATATAACGTGTAATCTGGGTGCTCTAAATAAATATTCAAAACCGTTTCTATCATTAATATTAATGTTAAATCCACTAATACTGCTTTTTAAACACTTTAAAATGTCCCATTTTTGCAGAAAACACGTGTACGTCGTACCGATGAAACGCTGCATAGCCGGATTTCAATTCAAAGGCTGTCAGAAGATCTGCCCAACCTACTATGACCCCGTTTGCGGAACAGACAATATGACCTACAGTAATACATGCTTCTTGGAAATCGAAAATTGTCGATCAAGGTCACTAGTTACATTGAGGAACATGGGAACTTGCACCGAACCAGTCAACGAAATACCCAAGAATTATTTATATTAATTTAAACAAATTCCAAATTGGAATTTAAATTCTGTACTAATTGCGATTTTTTTTTTTTAGAAGAAAACAATTTGTTTAAATTCCAAATTCAGATTGATAAAGAGCCATTTTGTTGAATTGATAATGTTCTGACAGATTGTTTAATCGCAAATAGATGTCAATTTAGAGTTTTATGGATTATAGATTTTTAATTAAACAAAAATTAATGATTAAAACCAAAAATTGTCAATAACTTTCGCTTTATAAGATTGACGATTTTCAAAAAAAAAAAATATCCAGCTTGGCTATGAAAATTTACCAATTTCACATTCTAGACTCTAAATTTAAAAAATATGATTAATCAGATATTCTCATAAACATAAAAATATTGCTACTCCATTTGTTGACATAAAAATGTCGAGAAAGTAAGAAATAAAACCGAGATTCTTTACTACCCTCTTAACTATTATTAAAATATTAAAAATCTTCTGACATTTATTTATTTATTTCAATTTATCACTAAAGTGGAGTCTCTTTCCGCCTAAATACCAGTATTGCCAACTGCAATGACATATATGTCAAAAATTGGCAGATTCTGACAGTTATTTATCTATTATTGTTCAAATATTGATAAAAAAATAATTGTAAATATATGTTTCCTTCGAGCGTACGCAAAGTAGTACTTTTCCGCATGCATTTCCGTGCGCAAAGTAGCACTTTTTCGCACGCCGTGCGGCTAAGATTTCTTTCCGCACTGAGTGCAGAAAAGTTAAACTACTCAAAAATTACAAACAAATAATTTAATTTTCGATTAGTATTTTTTATTGTTATGTAACGTTTTGTTGTGTAATTTTTCTTTCAAAAACTAGAATTAAGTTATAATGTTTAACAAACCACTTTAATTAACCCCAATCAGTTTTTTTTTTAGAATCAATAGAATTCATCCCCTTATAAAGCTTGATTTTTCCTGAAAATTTCAATTTGATATCGTTTTTTGTTTCTGGATTTAGATTTTTTTAATATTTTAATACCCCTATCTACCAATTTTAATTATTTATTCCCTTATAAAACTTGATTTTTACTAAAAAAAATCATGTTGATATCGTTTCTGTTTTTAAATTTCTTTTTTTTAACCCCCCTGACGTCCATTTTATTCAGATTTTCTTGAAATAGGCTTTGTCCCCTCATAGAGCTTGATTATTGCAAAATATTTCAAGTTGATATTATTGTTCATTTTTGAGTTGGGATTTTTTTAAATATTTCAACCCCTTATCCACTTTCCATTTTCATTCAAGATTGTTTCAGAATCAGTAGATCTTGATTTTTACTAAAAATTTCATGTTGATATTGCTTTCCGTTTTTGATTTATAACTTTTTTTAATTTCAACCCCACTTAAACACCCCATTTTTAATCAATTTTTTTCAAAATAGAAGAGCTTCGTCCACTTAAAGATCTTGTTTTGTGCTAAAAATTTCAAGCTGGTATAATTTTTTCTTTTTGAGTTAGGATTTTTTTATATTTTAACCCCCCTTACCAATTTATTTAAATTTTTTTCAGAATCAATAGGCTTCATCTCCTTATAGAGCTTGATTAATTTTAAAAATTTCATGTTGATATCGCTTTTCGTTTTTGATTGATGATTTTTTTTAATTTGAACCCCATTTTTAATCAATTTTTTTCAAAATCAATAGGCATTCTCCCCTAATAGAGCTTGATTTTTGCTAAAAACTTTAAGTTGATATTTTTCGTTTTTAAGTTACGATTTTTTTAATGTTTGTCATTTTCCATTATTTTTGTTGACTGATATTTATGAAGCTCGTAGGAAAAATTTTGTTTCGAACAACATGCATTTTCCGCACGCTTCCGTCGTTCGTCTAACCTAACTGTATTTGCGTGCGGAAAAGTGATACTTTCCGCACTTGTTAGGAAAACAACTATTCTCTATTTTATAATTCAGTCATCAAGTCTCAAGTTTGTATTTTTTGAAAAAATAATTTTGTTTGTAATTTTAAAAGTGGTTTTTTTATTTATTTCTTAAAAACTATTAGATAGAGAATACCTACCTTCCAGTGGCATAGATAGCTTTTTGCAAAGGGGGATAAGACAAAAATATACTTACATAGTTGAAGAGTCTTTTATTTAATGCACTCATATTTTCGTAGACTGTATAGGGGGATTGATTCCCTTAATCCCCCTCCTATCTACGCCACTGCTACCTTCTAAAAAGTTGGAAAACTGTTGTTTGGTAATATTGTTAAATGTTGTAACCTGTAGTTATTCTAAGGTCCAATTTAGCATTAAGATTTATTCCTACTACACCATATGAATTATAATTGTTTTTCAATTTATAATTAATATCCAGATCATGTTCAGTATTCCAATAATCATACGTTGGTACAGAAGAATAGTGACGTTTAAATATTTTTTGAAAAAAAATGTTTGCTTTGATAACATTAGGACTAATAAAAAAAATATTTTATTTTCACCTATTTTTTTGAGAAAATTATTTAATTTGTATGACTTGTGTCACTGTTGAAAATAATGTTAATTTATTTTTAATAAATCTGGAAAAATTTTGATTTATGTCACTCTAGCAAAAAATTGACGATCTTATATCATTTACTGTCGGAGCAAAACTAGATTTGTGTCACTCTTCGTCATAAACTGCACTGCAAGTAGCATTATATAATTTTTTAGTTGTGTCACTGTTCTTGCGCACCAACGTTTTAAATTTGAAAGGTTGATTTTATATCATATAGGGTTATTATTAAATCGATACTTCTGGTTTAACTGTGTTTATAAGCAGTGACGTAGCCACGGGGGGGTTTGGGGGTCAAAACCCTCCCATGAAGGTTTCTTGCGTCACCATTTCTGCTATAGTATTGGCGCTGATCGTTATTGACTTCCTTGATGTAACCCCCATAGTTCTCAGAAACCCCTCCCATACAAAATGGCTAGCTACGCCACTGTATAGAAGTCATTAAGATAAAAACATTTCAAAACAACTCGAAAATAAAAGGACAATGATTAAGTAAGGAGTTTTCGACATTACCAAAGATTACCAAGATGGCTACGATACTGAATGGCGTAGCCAAAAATCTGTCATAGGAGGGTTTTTTCTTTTTAAATTTAACAAAAATAAATATTTTTTTTATAAAACGATAAAAAGTAAATAAAAACAAATTAAAAATATAAGTAGAATTGAGTTTTGGTATTTAAAAGTAATTTTCTTTTATTTTTTGCAAGTACATCAAGCACTTCAGTTTCTAAGTATTTAAACCCATTTAAAATTCATAATACTTTTGCCGCCCCATGGCTACGCCTCTGAAGACAAATATCGTCTTGACCTACTCCCTTTAAATTGGAGTGTTAACATTGTTGCCAAATTGATCCCTATACAATAGTATTTCATGATGAATATTTTTTGTCTTAGAAAAACTTCCAAAGTCATTAATAAAGGAATATCCAAGGGCGGCTCCAGGGGGGACATGCGCATTAAAAAGACTTATATTAGTTAAAAAAGAAGTATCAATGTAGGAAATCGCCCAGTATAGATTCATGAATACCTTTCTGTTAAACATCTCAATGTTACCTAAAAACAACTAATTTTGGATTGAGAAATAAATAAAATGGATGAAGTTTCCATATTCCTGGAGAAATGTCTCGTATCTCAAATAAATGTGAGTTTAACTAATATGCACAGTGTTGTCTAGTTTATTTAAATTAAAACTATAATCGCTATTTTTTATATAACTGACTCTAAACAACAAATTATTTGCAATAAATAACATCATACAATTGTTTAATAAATTAATAATACTGTGCATATTAAATGCATTAATTTTTATGTTTACAAATATATACTTTCTATTTTGGTACCAAGTAAAAATAAAGTTCTTACTGCCCTATATTTTCAGTGAAAATTCTTCTTTCCGTAAGTATTTATTATTCTTACTTTTGTGCCAATATTTTATTTCTATTTTATAGAATTTATATTTATTAATATTATTAAGAAATAGAAATTGTATTTATTTTTTAGCATTATTGTAGTAATTTATATAAGATATACAAAAAAAATATGGAATTTGTTTCATTTATCAAATGAGCTGTGTTTTTAAGTGTTAAGTATTATTTTTAAATACTGTGTAATTCAATGATAAATAAAGTTACATATGAAAACTTTTTTTTTGTTTTACTTATGTATAGAGAAGTCTGCTTCTGTCATTTTTTATTTGACATAAGTCACCATCGACTATCCTAAGTCACTAATGACCTATCATAATAGGTAAGTTCAGACAGACAAAATCCATTCACTCTTTTAAATCCAAACCACCCTTTTAGTGTTTGGTTTAGTCCGATTAGTGACAGTTAAACATGCCTAAATGTCATTTAAAAGCACCTTAAAAACTCTGCTCTGAACGCTACTCAAAAGTCAATCATTAATTTTCATTCATAATGTCCATTACAATCAACAATCAATAATTATCTCTGCAATTAAATGTTGTTTTTTATAGGTAGTATGGAATCAAATAAATTTTAAAATTCAATTTATTTACTAAATACAACGTAACATTCTTTAAAGTTTCCTCTGTTTTCTGGGCCTGGGAGGTGTCCAAGACACCCTTGTACTATCAGTTATTGAAATAATTTGTAACCCAGTCATCTGCAAACCTTTTATAGCGGCCTAAAATCAATATTTTATGTTTTAATCAATTAAAACTGTATATTCTAATCAAATATTACCATTCTACCTGGTCCTAAGCCTCTTACTCTGACCCTCACTGTTTTGTAACCTTGTTCAAAGGCTTTCTAGAAAAAATAAGAATTTCTTATCACAAAAACTTGAATTAAGTACTATCCTCTAATTAATTGTGATAGCAATATAAAAATATATATTATCACCCAGTATTAAAACTATAAAAAGTTGTCACTTAATTTATCTTTAAATAAAAGATATTTTCGTGACCCTGGTGTACAATTAAACCATAAATAACTACAAAACTTATACTTACACTTCCTATAGTTATAGCAGTAGCTTGTGCTGCAATATTTGTACCTTTTCGTGTATTTTTAAAACCTTCTATACCACAAGAACGAATTAATTTAGGCGTACCTGTAACATAATATTAGTTAGGTTATAGTATCATTATGAATTGAAATAATTTACCTTTAGCGTCTGTGAGACTTAAAATAGTATTATTCTTCGATACTCTAATATTAAATACAGGTATATCCTTGAAAGGTACTCCATTGAACAGTTTATTAGGGGTATCTATAGTTGGAAATAACTCATGTCTAAAATATTTCAATACAATCAAGATTAAATATCAAATAAATGTTATTCTACAAGTTTACTTATTCATCGAGTAATCTATATCTACTGATTGTTCTCCTTGGGTTCCTTCATCTAACTTCGGTACAGTTTTCAACATTTCTTTTCTATCAACCACCTCTCTGAATCTTGTGGTTGCAGTAAATAAGGTTCTTACATTTGTTGGATTGGAATTGGATATTACTAGGTTTCTAAAGACGCTATACAATTGATTAGCAGCAGTCATTTTTAAATATCAAAAAGGTGAAACTTTAAAAATTTAAATTAAAAACGAAACCACAATTAATTAGGTTATGTTAAATCTCATCTTATGTCATTTTTATTGACAGTGACAGATGGCATTACTAAATACATCTGTAACAATTATACGAACTAAAAAATCATTTGTACAGGCCTCTTCTATTTTTCACAACATAACTTTGTTTATTCATAGGTAGATGGCAGTTAAAGTATTATTGGGTTACCATTTTTTAATTTGTTTAAAACACTATCAATTCTCAATAAATAAAGCAGACAAGTAAAGCCTTAATAAAAGATAAAAAGCAATTTTTACTTAATTCTAATTCTACTTTTAGTTTCAAAAAGCCGAACTTATGTTAATTCTTCAAAAAAAAAATTACTGACAGACCAATGATATATAAAGTAATATAATCACTAATCAGAATCGGTCTAGCCCAAAATAAAATTTAAACCTTTGTAAAGTAAAAAAATAATTACCCAAATTTTTACTTCAAGGCATGAGCTAATGTTAATTTCCATATAGGCTACATGGCCTAACCTTTTCTAATAGGCAAAAATATTTAGAGATCTAAGAGCCGATTCCACCGTTGTATTAAACGGAGATTAAAATGTCATTGTTAATGTAAAAATGTTGTTTTAAACTTCGTTTAACGCAACGGTGGAATCGGTCCTAAACAATTAGACTTTTAACAACTTAACCTTCAAATCAGAAGAACCGGGACCAATGAAATGTAATTTATCATAAAAAAGATTTAAAAATTTTATCAAAATTTAATGTACATTTTATCGCAAGCTGACCTGCAGGCCTTTTGACGTTCTGAGAAGTAGTCCTAGATGATGTGTATCCATCCTCGCCTCCTTATTGAAACAGGTGCTTATTCAGGTACTGAAGTCTAAAAAAATAACATCTATTTAGTTCTGATATTTATTATCTTATCAATAAACTTACCTCCCTTTAATTTCTTAGTCTATTAAAATATTTATTATCCAATCCAAAGGGTCCATATTTCTTTTTCAGGAACTAACTGTTACGCTTAACCACCAAGAATATTTCGTTGCTTCCAAATCACTCGGAATCCACTTTTGGAACTACACGGGAATTGTAATAGATTTAAAAAAATTATTTTCTCAAAGTAATAATATATGCAACTAAAGGCGGGTACAAATCTGAGCACGCACGCATATGAGGCAAGCCGAGGCCGAACCGAATGCCTCGTCTGACACGAATGGTAGACGCACGAGACGCTGTTCGCCACTTTTTCGGTAAATTCGCGAGCACGCAACCGTATACCCAGAACATTCGTAAAATTAAAATAAAAATGAAGGATGAGGATGACGTCGCAGAGTTGAGTGCATGTTTTATTATTTTATCAGATACATTAAAAAAAAAAGGAGAGAAAGGAATCAATGGCCGATTTCCTGCCAAGGATATTCTATTTTTCTGTTGTTGTAATAGAACTGGCGTTTTGATCTCTTAAGATATTACGCTGATTATTTAAATCCAAGAGAAGCAAAACGTTTTCCTGATTTTACTTCGTGCAAAATAAATCCTAAAAACTCGCTATAATCTGAACGGTGCTGTATGGTACAAATACTCCGCCCAGACTGAGCACGTACTGCGCATTGACTCCCTTTGATGTACCGTCAACAAACGGATCAGGGCGAGGCCGTACAGCGCACACAACGAGGCAAATTGCCGCGCCTCGGAAGCCCGTCCACATCTGCATGTTCGGGCGTCCTCGGCTTGCCTCTTACGCGTACGTGCTCACATCTGTACCCGCCTTAACATTGGTCTAAGCAACTTGCTCAGTAGCAACAGTATATGATATAATAGACCCTCATATGTTTTATATCGAAAATGAATGTGAATTATTCGGTGAATTAAAAGCGGGTTTGAGCAGTGTTGCCGTTCGTAGCGACTTATCGCGAAAATAGCGACATTTTAGTGGTTTATGAGAGTAGCGGCGATTTTGCCTAAATTAGCCAGAAACAGCGACTTTTTGATCCTTAATACATTAAGTATCACTATAATAAAATAACAAAATGCTTGTGCTTATTTAGATGATTTCAATCGACGCCACGATATATGTGATTGCAACGACCTGCTGATCGCCATCTATCGAAGAAATCAGTTGTCTACAATTGGGCATTTATAAAAAAATACATTTTAAAATTAGACACATATTTAAACAAAATGAAGAATAACTCATACAAGTTTATGTAAAACTACTAAATAGTTAACAAATCAGATTCAGACCCTGGCTGAATATTATTTTTTTTAGTTATTGTTGTGTTAAGCTAGTTTAAATTACTAAACTAAGATTAAAATGACATTTTTACATTAACAATGGGGTCTATTCTATAATAATTCCTTTATATTTAACGGCCTTTAAAAATATTTTCTTCTTTACTTGTGTCATTATTTAAACGGATCTTTAAAAAACATTAGAGGACTATGTTAAACAAATCTGTTTAAATAATGACAGAAGTAAATTAACGAATACGAAAATGTTTTTAAAGGCCGCCAATATTTTTAAAGGCCGTTAAATTTAAAGGAATTTTTACAGAATAGACCCCAATGTCATTTTAATTTTCGTTTGGCAATTTAAACTAAGTTTAACATAACGAGCGAATCGGCCCTTAGATATTTAAAAAATATATATTTTTAGTTTTTTAGGCAATACAACACACACGTTAGTGTATGTTTGATTGTATATTTCATCTATAATGATGTAGCGACAAAATGGCGACTTTAGGCAAACAAAAATAGCGACAATGTCAGATGTCGGTGCGGCAACACTGGGTTTGAGACAGAATAATATTCCACTTTTGTAAATCTGCCTATACACATTGCGTTCGGTCTGCCAAGTTCCTTTAACTCCTTTAACACTTTTAACTCCAAACGACCCTTTTACCGTTAGGTTTAGTCCGATTAGTGACAGTTTAACACGCTTAAATGTCATTTAAAAGCACCCTAAAATTTGTCCCGCTCCAGCCCCTGACTGACCGAACTCGCCTAGAGTACGTTAACCCTCCGAGCATTGCTCGGAGCGTTAACCAACGCTTTTCACCAAAATAAAGATGACACGCCTAATTATATTTGCACATGAGGGGATGAAGAGAGCAACCTGTAAATCACCTGCCGTGATTGGACGTATGATTATTCTTCTATAGACATGGGTAACGCACTAAAATTCTCTGCGTTGATACACTAACTCCGGCGCACTCTATTGCGCCAACTCATTGCGTTAACGCAATTGCGTTATTGCGTCACACCACTGCCTGCGCCGAATGAAGTCGATGCACCTTGGTGTATCGCATGATACCGGTGTTATTCAGCGCGGGCTGTCCTTTTATAAGGGTCAAACCGTGTTCAAGGCAATAACGCAATTGGGAATTTAACTAAATTATATGTTTAAAAATAAACGAAAATATAACAGTGTAATGCACCCATTTTTTATTTCATTGTGTTCGGATTTTACAAAGAATACAAAAATTTCAATTTATATAAAAAGGATATAACTTTTGTATACTAGTAGCCAGAGCTGTTTAAGATCATTTTAAAAACGATTTAAATCAAAGATCATAAATCGTTTGCATTTGAACAAATGATTTAAATCAAAGATCGATTTTTTAAAAAGAAAGATTTAAATCAAAAATCTTTTTTAGATTTAAATCTTTTTTACAATTTAAATCATTTTAGGAAAGATTTAAATCTTTTTGAAAGATTTAAATCTTTTCGAAAAATTTAAATCATTTCGAAAGATGCACTTCATTTTCAAAATCTCCCGGCTATGAATAATAAAATTGAGTGAATTGAATTAAAAGAGTTCTTCTCTCAACGTGAAGTTATTGCGAGGAAATACATAACCAAAGTGAGCGCGTTTGGGTTAATTGTTTTGAAAAATGTGTGGATGAATCAGGCAAAGAAATAAAAAAATTTAATTAATTCGCTCTATCTATGCCAAGCGTGTTTATTGAACTGGTCAAAAAGTCATAATCGTCTTAATGCATACATTTAAAATACATATTGTAAAGAGTTTCAGGATTATATCGATAATGAAAAAGTATTTCCAGCTGCTTGCGGTGTAAAAAATACAACTTAACAAAAAAAAATATCGGGTCAAAAATATTGTAAAATTTCATACTTAAGAACAATCTTTAGTCATTGCAATTATTTGTTAAACTTCACTATTTTTTCTTTTTCTTTTTTTTTCTCTCGGATTTCTGATTCAACCCTACTGACATGCTGGCTAGATTATTATTCAGGAATAGACAGGTTGATAACGATTTTGACGAATCAGGTGATGTAAATCGTTTTAAAAAGATTTAAATCTTTAAGAAAATTTAAATCATTTTAAAAAGATCTCATCATTTTACAGATTTAAATCATTTCAGAAAGATTTAAATCAATAAAAAGATTTAAAACATTTTAAAAAGATTTAAATCATTTTAAAAAGATTTAAATCGTTTTAAAAAGATTTAAATCGTTTTAAAAAGATTTAAATCGTTTTAAAATAGTATATTATGCAACGATCATGTAATGATGGTTATTAATACACGAGCATTAACCGGGATACGAAACGAGCCAAAGGCGAGTTTCGTATGGTTTATGCGAGTGTTTTAATAACCATTACATGAGAGTTGCATACGCTATTTTTTCTACACCCGATAAATAATCAAGACCTATAAATATTCTATTTATATTGGCATTGAACACAATAACAGTAATTACTCGTATTTCTATAAAAAATTCTACAAAATTGTAATTAATGGTATTACCTTGGGTATTGGTATTACCACAGATTTTTGGGGCAAAATATTTTGTACTGCATTTTCTCCTTTCTCCGATATGTGTGGAGGAGTCTTCTATATCGCTGATATCAGACATTTTAATATTATAATTATCGAAGTTTAGCTATCTACGAAAATTTAATACGATTTGACAACTAAAACAATTACATAGGAATTTAGGACAAACGTCAAACATCATGCTTGATTGAAAAATTGTAGGTTTCTATTGATTAAAAATCTGTATCATAATGAAAAATCTGTATCATAATGGGTATCATTATGAAACGGATTATGGGCATATAAGTGCATTATTATAATACGGGTGTAGAAAAAGATTTAAATCGTTTTAAAAAGATTTAAATCGTTTTAAAAAGATTTAAATCTAATTTTTAAATAAAAAATCAAAGATACTTTTCAAAAAGATTTAAATCATAAATCAAAAATCATTTTAAAAAAAAAAGATTTAAAATCAAAGTATTTAAATCAAAAAATGTATTTAAATCAAAAAATGATTTAAATCTCACTGATAGGTGACAGCTCTGCTAGTAGCCAATCAAAATGGGAAGAATTAAAAACTGACAGTGTACAAGGTTAAAATCCACAAAATTCGACCTACAATCCTACAAAAAATGATGTGACATGTTGCAAAGAACATAATTACTTGATAGATTTTGGGTAATCTACATTACGAGTTGCATCAATTACGTAAATTAAAATTCTCAACTCGTCACGGAAAACGCAATCAGTGCCTGGCGCATGGCGCACCAACAACTCGCGATCCTTTCGACTCAATCGAAAATTGCGTTGCGCTGATACAGTAACAGCTGGTTTATCAACGCTCATGTCTATTCTTCTACCATAGTAGGATATCGGGCACTGTTTTACCTCCGTCTATTCTATAGCATTGCTTATTCTATACCGGAGTCAGTGTGTGAAAGTTAACGTACTGTATAAAATTCACCATATACGGATACATCTATATAAACAATACACTGATGAATGTGATTATAATTATTTACTGACAATTCTACAAAACAAATTTATATTGATTATACTGCCTCACAGCATTAATTTTGTAGATTGTTGCCTTATTATTATAGCACTATATATTTTTGATCAAGTTGGACATTTGAATTTTATAAAATCATCCTACTATAGTTTTAATTAACAACACAAATACAAATATTCTTGTTTACCATCTACATAAAATGTACAATGATTTCCCATTCGATTATTTACTGTTGGGTTCTAATTAAAAGTGGTGCTGGGAAACATTAACGAGGCCTGCACCGAATCCGCGGCTAATCAACATTGCAGTTGATGACGATAACACAAAAGAATCTAAAAATATTAATGACTAGAAAATCTCAACCAAAAACTAAACATAAAGATTAAAGATTTTAATTTCTAAACCGGGTCTGTGGTTTACAACTGAAAAAAAAACATGGACATTGCATGTATTAGATAAAGAGAAAACTTCGCCCAGTCAACTCGCTTTTCGTCGTCAGATTTACATATGGATAATCAATATATGTAACTATATATCATTGGTACTGATTACAAACTGACATTTATCTGACAGACGACAGACAGACGACGGATCTGTGGACGACGGGTGAAATTTTGTGGACCGTAGCAAATAACCTCTCATTTTTGCTTACAAACAACAGTTAAATTATGAATTTAATTTAAACAAATTCCTTTAAATTCTTCTTGTCGTCCGATTTCAAAGACTTCTATCCAAATATGACGTCAATTATCAAACTGCAGGTCTTATCTGGGGCCAAAGACGAATCGCCCCCATGTTACCTACTTCAAGTAGACGATGTACGAATATTACTAGATTGCGGCTGGGATGAGAAGTTTGATATGGAATTTATTAAAGAAATTAAAAGGTACTTCATCTCTGAAAACACTTTAATACACTTTTTTATTTATAATTTCTTTTTTAGACACATCCATACGATAGATGCTGTATTAATTTCTTATCCTGATAATTATCACTTAGGAGCTTTACCATACGTTGTGGGGAAGCTCGGTTTAAATTGTCCAATATATTCGACAATACCAGTGTACAAAATGGGCCAAATGTTCATGTATGATCTCTATCAGTCGCAATATAATATGAAAGAGTTCTGTATATTTTCACTGGATGATGTAGATGTTACTTTTGAGAAGTTTATTCAATTGAAATACAACCAAACGATGCCTTTAAAAGGTAACAGATTTATATAAATTGTAGTAGTAGAAGGAAATATATTTATTGGGTACTCCCAAGGGCTATTGAGTGGAGTCTAGGACGATATTTACAATTATATGCATAAACCTATTGATAATCAACAATATACATTTAATATACTGTCCCAATGAAAAGTAGCCTATTTCCAGAGCTTATAACTTTTAAACAAATCGTAAAAACGTGTGGTTTTTGCTGATATGTATTATTTTGCTATAAGTTTTGCTTTAGTGACACAGAAATTATGTATTATCTATACAGGGTGTTTTTTAAAAATCTCTTAAATTCACCCTAACCAAATTTTATCAAATGAAAATGGGCTACTTTTCATTGGGACACCCTGTATTTTAATTGAAGAGTGAAAATAATAAACGAGCTAAGTGTCTATATTTATTATTTTGAGATTATTCCTTAAAAATGATCTACATGCCATTGCCTCAAACTTATAATTTATACAATAATAGGTACATTCTCAGTGCCAAATCGATTGTTTATATCTAAGCATAGCAGTGCTGTTTTGATACCTTCAGGTAATAAAATTAGCTGTATTTTTGATGCTAATATTGTTAATGGGTGGATTGTTGATGTCTTCCTTCTAAAATGCTATGTTTTGTGGAATATTATTTTTCAAAATGTTTACCAATAATTTGCAAAAGAGTATTAGAACAATAGTTTTCTGGTTTAAAATGGTATTGGTTTGGGGATGGTAATAACCACCTCAGTTTTCCAGTCTTTGGGGAAAGTGTGTTGTAGGGACAGAATTTATAAATTTTGAGTATATTTTTATGAATATCTAGTGTTAATTTTCTCAATATGTTTCTGCTTACGTAGCCATGTTTTTACCTGTGAAAACTGTTTCATATTTTTGTTTTTCTCTATGCCAGAAATGTTCTGATTGGGGTTGTATTCCTCAAAAAATTGTTTGTACCAATTATCAACTTCTGCTTCAGTATTTTTTATCAAACTTGTCATCTTTATAACTGAAAATGTCTTCATAATGGTCAGCGAATAATTCTACTTTTTGTTCGTCTGTTCCATATTTTGTATTATTCATTTGTAGGTCCATAATTTTATTATGTGCTTTGTCATTTTTTATTTCTCTCCAGTAATGTTTACCTGTCATATTTTTTATGTTATCCCATGTTATCAATTTAAAATTAAAGTAGTAATTTAGCTAATTAGTAGTGTCTATGTCCTAATATTGTCCTATTGCAGGTAAGGGATATGGTTTAACAGTCACACCTTTACCTGCCGGTCATATGATTGGAGGAACAATTTGGAAAATCCAGAAAGTAGGCGAGGAAGATATTGTATATTGTAACGATTTTAACCATAAAAAGGAGCGGCACTTAAACGGTTGTGAATTAGAAAAATTACAACGACCATCTTTACTTATAACTGATGCATTCAATGCTAGCTATCAACAAGCAAGAAGAAGGGCTAGAGATGAAAAATTAATGAGTAAGTGATAGGGAAAATGGAGATAGTTGATTCAGAATATTGAAAAGGACATATTTTTATTTATTTATATTAAAAATAATACAATAATTTTTGCAGCAAACATCCTTCAAACCTTAAGGAACCACGGGAACGTGCTGATAGCAGTCGATACGGCCGGCAGAGTCCTAGAACTGGCACACATGTTGGACCAGCTTTGGAGAAACAAAGAATCCGGTCTTCTAGCTTACTCTCTGGCATTCCTAAACAATGTGAGCTACAACGTAGTCGAATTCGCTAAATCGCAAATCGAATGGATGAGTGATAAACTCATGAGAAGCTTCGAGGGTGCTAGAAACAATCCATTTCAGTTCAAACATTTACAATTGTGTCACAGTTTGGTCGAGTTGAACAAAGTGCCGAGTCCCAAGGTCGTGTTGGCCAGCTCACCTGATTTAGAAAGTGGGTTTTCCAGGGAGTTGTTCTTGCAATGGTGTTCTAACCATAATAACAGTATTATATTAACTACAAGGTAATTGAATTAATGTTTTATTTAAAAAGGTGTTTGAAAATCCATTACTTGTCAGTTTATTTGATTTTCAAAACGTCAGTTGTCAGTTTATTTGACATTTATGTCATTTGTCAGCTTATTTGATGTATTCAAATTTTGATCAGGTAAGGAAAGAAGCAAAATTAACATTTTTTAGGGCCAAAGATTAATAAAAATATGTACAGTGCTGTTTTATTATATCAAAATATGGTTTTTATGGGGTTATTTTCGCGTTCAAAAACTTGATACTTGTTGGTATTTGACGTTTACAACGTCACTTGTCAGATTATTTGACGTTTCAAAAGTCACATGTCAGGTTATTTGACATTTAACACGTCGCTGGTTCATTTTTAAGACATCCTAACATTTTTTGGATCAAAGATCATAAAAATTAACGTTTTATTATTGTGGTAAATCGGCATATTAAATATATTTTATTTCGTACATTTTTCTATTCTCTTTTACTCATTTTCTCCATCTCTCTGACCTTTAATTTAATTTGTCTTCACGACAGAGTATTGTTTTTTCCTGGAAGAAACAAATTTTTTGTCATCTTATTTCTTTGTTGTTTGGGTATTTTTACAAGCAATATAATAAAGCAGTTCAGTTTAAACTTTGTCTCATCAAATATTAAGTACATGTATTTTATTTATATCAAAATATAGTTTTTATAGAGGTATTTTCGTTACAAAACTTTTAAATGTTTATTTGACATTTATAACGTCACTTGTCAGTTTATTTGATGTTTACAACGTTACTTGTCTGTTTATTTGACACTTAAAACGTCACTGGTCAGTTTATTTGACGTTGAAAACGTCACTTGTCAATTTATTTGACGTTTAAAACGTCACTTGTTAGTTTATTTGATGTTTCAAACGTCGTTCTTTAATTTTTAAACTTAAAACGTCACTTGTCAGTTTATTTGACGTTTAAAACTTCACTTGTCAATTTATTTGTCGTTTAAAACGTCACTTGACAATTTATTTGGCGTTTAAAACGTCACTTGTTAGTTTAGTTGATATTTAAAACGTCACTTGTCAGTTTATTTGACGCTTACAACGTCACTTGTATGTTTATTTAACACTTAAAACGTCACTTGTCAGTTTATTTGACGTTTTAAACGTCACTTGTGAGTTTATTTGGCGTTTAAAACGTCACTTTTAGTTTAGTTGAAATTTAAAACGTCACTTGTCAGTTTATTTGACATTTACAACGTCATTTGTCATGTTATTTGACGTCTCTTACGTCGCTCATATTTTTTTAGGACATCTTAACATTATTTTAAAGTCAAATATAATTTTTTTTATAAATGCCGTTTTATTATGACGTTTAAAACGTCACTTTTCAGTTTAGTTTACATTTAAAACGTAACGTCACATGTCAGTTTATTGAACGTTTACGACGTCACTTGTCTGTTTATTTGACTCTTAAAACGGCATTTGTCAGTTTATTTGTCGATAAAATGTCACTTATCAAATTATTTGATTTTTCACACTTTACTCGTTAATTTTTAAGACATTTTTACATTTTTATTGATCAAATAGAAAAATTTGTATAATACGGTTTTATTATATCAAAATGTAGTTTTCCTAAGGCTATTTTAGTTTAAAAAACTTAATATTTAAAAATCGATACTTGTTAGTATATTTGACGGTTAAAACGTCACTTGTTAATTTAGTTGACATTTAAATATCACTTGTCAATTTATTTGACATTTACAACGTCATTTGTCATGTTATTTAACGTCTCTTACGTCGCTCGTAAATTTTTTAGACATTTTAACATTTTTTAGAGTCAAATATACAAATTTGTATAGTGCCATTTTATTACATCAAAATTTAGTTTTATTAGCAGTTTTGTGGTTGCAAAAATTTAAAAACGTTCTTAAATTCGATACTTGACGTTTAAAACGTCACTTGTCAGTTTAGTTTACATTTAAAACGTCACTTATCGGTTTATAACATCACTTCTCTTTTTATCTGATGTTTAAAACGTTAATTATTAAGACATTCTTACCCGTTTTTAAGTGTCCAATATCAGTAAAATTTGTATATTGCTATTTTATTATATCAAAATGTAGTTTTTCTAGGGCTTATTTCGTAATGTTGAAATACTCGATACTTGTCAGTATATCTGACGTTTAAAACGTCTCTTCTTAGTTTAGTTCACATTTAAAACGTCACTTGTCAGTTTATTTGATGTTTACAATGTCAGTTGTGTGTTATTTGACATCTGAAACGTCACTTGTTGGTTTATTTTACGTTAAAAGGCATTTCTTTATAAGCTTACTACAACATACTTGGTTACAGTATTGTGGTTACTGTGGTGACATTATGCATACCATGGTTTCCCTATTATTGAATGTCATATGTCAAATTTAATTTAAGTTTGGGGATTTCTAAACGAAATTTGTATTTTAGAAATTTTAGGATGTTTTGACTTTGTTATTTTTTATTACAGTATGTTCTAGTAAGCTTATAAATAAAGGCATTTCTTTATAAGCTTACCACGACATACTTCGTAACAGCGTTGTGGTTACTCTGATGACGTCAGACATACCGTGGTAACTCGTAGCACTTGTCGTTGTCACATGTCAAATTGGGGATTTGTTTACTTTGTTTTTGTTCAGATAAATAAAAGTGTTTTTGTCACAGACGTCATTTGGTTTTCGTTCTTTTGTTATTTACTTAAATATGTCTTCTCCAACAAAAGAAAGAAAAAAAATTAATAAGTGTTATTTGTGATGAAATAACAATGATAAATACTTGTGCCAGTAGTCTCATATTTTCATCTTTATATTTCAATATAAATAACAGTATCCAGTGGTCATCAACATCGTTCTCGTGAAGAGTTATTTCAGTGCCCTGTATTTCAAATGTAATTTCTTTCATAGTAAATAGAGTTTTCTTTGGTAAATACAAAAATGCCCAACCCAAATATACAAAATGAACCATATAACCCGTAACCACAGAAAAATGTATCTAATTTAAAATCTTTACAATACTTTGCGCATGCTCGATATGTTTAAATGTGGACCTTACTGACCTTACCACACACCTTACCACTAAAAACATCATGGTTAGTAGTAGTTACGTATTTTGGTAACGTATGACGTCATGGAAGTAACCAAACCGTTTAAAGAATTGCTTTGGTTACATAAGTATGTTCTAGTAAGTTATGGTAAGCTTATAAAGAAATGCCTCGTTAGATGTAGCTACATATGCTTTGGTAACATGTAACCAAAGCAGAGTAACCAAACGTTATAAAGAAATGCTCTGGTTACAGAAGTATGTTCTGGTAAGCTTATAAAGAAATGCCTTAAAACGCCATATCAATTTTTTTGACGTTTCACATGTCGCTGGATAATTTTTGGGACATACAAACATTTTAAGTGTCAATTATCATAAAAATATGTACAATGCCGTTTTATTATGTCAAAATAATTTTTTCATTGTAATTTTCAAAAACTTAAAAATATTTAAAAACTATACTTAGTATATTTGACGTTTAAAACGTCATTTGTCTGTTTAGTTGACATTTTAACTGTCACGTATCAATTTCATTTTTTATTTACGCTGCTTGTTAAGTTATTTGACGTTTCAAACGTCACTTGTCAGTTTAATTGACATTTAAAACATCACGTGTCAGTTTATTTGATGTTTCCAATGTCACTTGTCAGGTTATTTGACGTTTCAAACGTCGCTCTTTAATTTTTAAAACGTAACGTTTTTAGTGTCAAAAATTACGTACAATTTGTCAAAAAATAGTTCATGTGCATTTTTGACTCAAAAAGTGTCACTTTCTTCACTATATAATCTTTTATAGGCTAACTATATTCTTTTTTACCATTTTAAAAAAGTAAATTGACATCAACGAGAATTTAGTTTACTCACAACTATTTATCATTTTTGACACGACATTTTAGGACGTCACCGGGAACTCTAGCTAGAGATCTAATAGACAACGGAGGTGGAAGAAACATCGATTTAACAGTAGAAAGACGGGTGAGATTAGAAGGACAAGAACTCGACGATTACGAAAGACGACAAAGGTCTAGAAGTGATAAAATTGACAACGAGTAAGTATTTTTACCAATACAATCTTCAAAGTAATGTTTTATTGTTAGAAACAACAATTTACGTAAAAAAATATTAATTTTAACTATCATGTCATTTTTTATCGTCACACGTCATTTTCTAAGGGCATATGTCACTTTTTACTGCCGTATATCATCTTTTTTTGTTTCGTCCATTTAAGGTATCTCTCTGTTCCTCCTGTGGAAACCCAGCAGGCTTCCCCTATTTAGGCTTGATTTCCAGCCTGCAATTCCTCCTCTGTGGTTCGCATGGTGGCACCATTCAGGTACCCTACTCCTTCCCATTCAGTCAGCTGGTACCGAGAGGCGAATCACTCCGAAATATGAACTAGAAATCACCTAATTCCCGAAATGGCCAAAATTTCGAAATCATCACCGAAATAAATCATTTTCGTCCATACGTCATTGTTTACTGTCATACGTCAGTGTTTACTGTCATACGTCAGTTTTTACTGTCATACGTCATTATTTACTATCATACATCATTGTTTACTACTAAACGTCATTGGTCTTAAAGAACATCCGGAAATGTAATGGATTTGTTCCAGCAACGATCACAAACTGTCATTGGCTGTCTGGATTCCGCGCAGTAGCTTGTCAAGGGCTCCAAATAATCTTTTACGCAAAATCATAGCAGTCTATGACTATGTTTGATCTTTGTTTAAACAAACACAGTGCTAAGGATATCATAGAACAATTAAAATTTATTAGTTTTAATTATTGACTGCAATGACATGTTAAAAATGATCTACAATCGTATGTATTCGTCACTTCTATCATAAAATGTCTATCATTACTGTCATATGTCATTTACTGTCGTATATCCATCTCTTTTATGATTTATAGGTAAGTTCGGACAGACAAATTTCATTCACTCCTTTGACTCTTTTAACTCCAAATGACGCTTTTAACGGTCGCTTTATTTCGATTAGTGACAGTTCAACACGCATAAATGTCATTTAAAAGCATCCTAAAAAACCCTTTACTGTCATATGTCATTTTTTAAACTCGAATCTCAGTTTTTACTGTCTTGTGTCACTTTTTAAACTCAAATCTCAATTTTTACTGTCATACGTCACTTTTTACTCTCATACTCATACGTCACTCTGTAATGTCATACGTCACTTTGCAGGGACGCGGATTCAGATTCGGACTCTGACATCGAGATGTCTGTAATATCGAAGGGGAAGCACGACATCGTGATCAAGCAGGAAGGTAAAATATCGACGGGATTTTTCAAGGTTACCAAAAAAATGTACCCGATGTATCCGTTCCACGAGGAAAAGATCAAGTGCGACGAATACGGCGAGATCGTCAAACCCGAGGATTACAAGCTGGCCGAAGTGATACCCGAAGGCGAAGACAATAAGGAAAATATCGTGATAAAGAAAGAAGAGGAGGAAATTAGTAAGTTTGCAAATAAAATTTAAAAAAATACGTATCGATTTTGATTTATTTTTATTCGTTTTTATTCTTTTTTGTTTATTTTTATTCATTTTTAATTATTCTTGTTCATTTTTACTGATTTGTATTGATTTTGATTTATTTTTATTCTTTGTTGTCCATTTTTTCTGATTCTTATTGATTTCAATTTATTTTTATAGATTTAGATTTGTTTTTATTCCTTTTTTTCTATTCCTTTTTATTGCTTTTAATTGATTTTTACTGGTATTGATTTTTTTTATTATTTTAATTCATTTTTATTGATTTTTATTCATTTTAATTTATTTTAATTCATTTTTACTTATTTTTTATTTATATTGATATTGGTTTATTTTTATTCTTTCTTATCCATTTTGACTGATTTTTATTGAATTTGATTTAGTTTTATTCAATTCCTGATTTTGATAGATTTTTATTCATTTCGTTTGAGTTATTTATTTATTTTTTTTTTTTTTATTTTTATTCAGTCTTATTTTTTTTTTTATTTTTATTCAGTCTTATTTTTTTTTTTTTTTTTAATTTGGTGTCATCGGCGTCGACTACTACGGCCATTAGCCTCGTGTTCTGTGTAGGCTTTGTTACTGTTTCCCAGCGCCACTTTAGGAACAGCACTGTTAATTAGAACCCAACAGTGAATGGTCGAGTGGAGAATCCTACCAAGGCATCAGAATTAATTTTAAATAATTAAATTAAATGAAAAAATCCCGGCCAACGGTGGGATTCGAACCTGAGACCTTCCGATCTCAAAGTCATGACTCTAACCACTGAGCCAACCCACCCCCCAGTCTTATTAATTTTTATTTTTTCATTTTTATTGAATTTTACTAATTTTTATCGATTTCAATTGAGTTGGATTCATTTTTATTCATTTTTAATCATTTTTACTGTTTTTTTTTTTGTTTTAATAAATTTTTATTGATTTAGATTGATTTTGATATATATTTTTATTGATTTCGATTGATTGATTTATTTTTATTCCTTTTTATCTTTTTTTATTGACTTGATTTTTACTGGTTTTTATTGATTTTTATTCGTTTTTTTTTTATTACGTCTTTCATTTTTGTTTTTTGTTGGATTCTATTCATTTTTATTGCTTTTAATTGATGTGTACTGGTTGTTATTGATTTTTTTTATTTTTATTGATTTTTATTCATTTTTTCTTGTTTTTTTTTTTATTTATATTGATTATATTTATATTGGTTTTGATTTATTTTTACTAATTTTTATCGATTTCGATTGATTTTGATAGATTTTTATTGATTTTGATATATTTTTATTGATTTCGATTGACTGATTTATTTTTACTGGTTTTTATTGATTTTTACTAGTTTTTATTGATTTTTACTAGTTTTTATTGATTTTTGTTTGTTTTTTTTTATTTTAACTCATTTTTATTGATTTGTATTAATTTTTATTGAATTTTATTGATTTAGATTTAGTTTGATTTGTTTTTATTTCATTTTTATTGATTTTTATTAATTAAAATTAATTTTTACTAATTTTTTCTTGTTTTTTTTTTATATTTATTGGTTTTGATTTATATTTATTATTTTTGATTTATTTTTACTAATTTTTATCGATTTTGATTTATATTTTTATTTGTTTTTATTCTTTTTTATTAATAATTTTTATTTAGTTTTACTTATGTTCATTGATTTCTATTCCTTTTTTTATTAATTTTTATTCATTTTGACTAATTTTGATTGATTTTGATCGACATTGATTTAATTTTGATTTAGTTTTATTAATTTTTACTGATTTTTATTGATGTTTATTGATTTTTTATCGATTTTTATTGATTGGTATGAATTTTTATTAAATTTTATTGATTTAGATTTAGTTTGATTTGTTTTTTTTTTATATTTATTGGATTTGTTCATTTTTATTAATTTAAATTAATTTTTACTAATTTTTTTCTTTTTTTTTATATTTATTGGTTTTGATTTATTTTTTCTATTTTTTATCGATTTTGATTTATATTTTTATTCGTTTTTATTCTTTTTTCATTTTTAATCATTTTTATTCAGTTTTACTTATGTTCATTGATTTCCATTCCTTTTTTATTAATTTTTATTGATTTCTATTCATTTAGAAATATTTTACTAATTTTTTCTCGTCTTTATTGTTTTTTTTTATATTTATTGGTTTTGATTTATTTTTATTGATTTTGATTTGTTTTTACTAATTTTTATCGATTTTGATTTATATTATTATTCGTTTTTGTTTTTTCATTTTTAATAATTTTCATTAGTTTTACTTATGTTCAATGATTTCTATTCTTTTATTTTTATTTATTTAGAAATATTTTACTAATTTTTTTCTCATTTTTAATTTTTTTGAATCATGTTTATTGATTTTTTAAATTTATTTTTAATTATTTTTATTGATGTTTATTCATTTTGACTAATTTTCATTGATTTTGATTGACATTGATTGATTTTAATTGATTTTGATTGATTTAGTTTTATTCACTTTTACTTATTTTTTATTGATTTTTACTAATTTTTATTCTTTCTTATCCATTTTTACCGATTTGTATTGATTTTTATTCATTTTTATTGATTTGTATTGATTTGTATTGATTTGTATTGATTTGTATTAATTTTTACTAATTTTTTTCTTGTTTTTTTTTTTAATTTATTGGTTTTGATTTATTTTTATTGATTTTTATTTGTTTTTACTAATTTTTATTGATTTTTATTCGTTTGGATTCATTTTACTAATTTTTTCTCGTTTTTGATTTTTTTTTTTTATTGATTTTGATTTATTTTTATTGATTTTTACTGATTTTGATATATATTTATTCGGTTTTTTTTTTGTTCATTTTTAATAATTTTTTATTCATTTCATATTCATTTTTATTGTGTATAAAATTAAATTAAATTTATTTATACTAATTTTTATTGATTTCGATTGTTTGATTCATCTTTAATCATTTTTATTCATATTTATACATAATTATTGATATGTATTTATTTTTATTAATTTTTCTTGTTTTTTATTGATTTTTACTGTTTATTTATTTTTATTCTTTTATTTTTATTGTTCATTAATCAATTAATTTTAATTGATTTTTTTATTTCGATTTTTTTAGATCGATTTTGATGTATTTCAATTTATTTTTTTAACATTTATTTCGATTTACTTCCATTGATTTTTATTTACTTCGATTGACTTCTATTTACTTACTTCAATTGATTTCCATTGATTTAAATTGATTTCGATTAATTTTGTTTGATTTTCGATTTACTGTTATTGTTTTCGATGATTTTGATTGATTTTGATCGACTTTGATCGATTTCGATTGATTTCGATCGATTTCGATCAATTTCAATCGATTTTGATTGATTTCGACTGATTTTGATTGATTTTGATTGATTTCGATTATATTTTAGCTGAAATTACGGAACAACCGACGAAATGCATCGTGCTGCAAAGGACGGTTCAAGTAAACTGTCAAGTCCAGTACATCGATTTCGAGGGTAGATCAGACGGTGAATCGCTGATGAAGATTTTGACGCAACTGAAACCCAGGCGAGTGATTGTGGTGCGCGGCACGGAAGAAAATACGGCCGTCATCGAGAAGCATTGCTTGGAGAACATGCAGGGGCGAGTGTTTACGCCCTCTAGGGGCGAAATAGTCGACGCTACGAGCGAAACCCACATCTACCAAGTAAGCATCCCGAATAAAACTCCTTTCTGTTGTATTGGTACATAATTTTGTTAGTCTAGAAATTTTCATGGTCCTTCGAGCCGGGCCGATAATAATTACTATTTTCGTCATTTTCAGGTTAGGTTGACTGACGCTCTAGTGTCGCAGTTGAGTTTCCAAAAGGCGAAAGAAGCAGAAGTGGCTTGGTTGAGCGCTCACATTATGCTGAGGGAAAGCCAAGCGGATGCTAGACGAATAAACGTTGATGACGAAGAAATGGAAGGTATGTTTAGCTTCATTGTCATTTTTATTATTAGTTCTTTCTGCCAATAGCCGAAGATCGTTCTAAATAACTAAGTACCAATTTTCGTCTAAAAATTTTTGTGGTCCTTCGAGCCGCGATAATTACTATTTTTTTTTTTAGTGGTAGACGAAGAGACGAGAATTCTAACCCTTGAGCCTTTGCCCGAAGGTTCGCCGCACGATCCTGTGTTCATAAACGAATTAAAACTTGCCGAGTTTAAACAAGTTTTAGGAAGGAATAGTATAAATTCGGAATTTTCTGGGGGTACTTTGTGGTGCTGTAATGGTACCATAGCAGTGAGAAAAGTAAATATAACTTATTTTCTAAAGTTATTCAAATGTATTTATTTTTTTTTTTAAGGTGGAGAATGGTAAAATGATGTTGGAAGGATGTATATCGGAAGAATATTATAAGGTTAAAGAATTGTTGTATGAACAGTATGCGATTTTGTAATTTTAAGAGTATTTTTATTTATGTAATAAACAGTACAAAATATAATTGTTTTTTAATGGATTGGAACCGTTTAGATTTAAGTAAAATTATTATTTAAAAAATAAGTCATGATTTTCTTGTGGGCATTTTTCATTGGGCGAGTTTAGCCAACGTATTTTTTCTCGTTAGAGAGTTATTGAAAGATTCAAATAGAGATAATAATAAAAGATCCTGCAAGTTTGTATTAGATTATTTTGTAATTAATTAAATATACAGAGGGGGGGTGGGTGGCTCAGTGGTAGAGTCTCTGCCTAAGGGTCCCAGGTCCGAATCCCACCGTAGGTCGGGATTTTTTTATTTAAAATTAATTCTGATACCTTGGTAGGATTCCCCACTGCCATCAACTTGTAGGTGATCCTACCTGTTTTTCACCCACCCGAAGCTCACTTCTCGATTTGTTTATAACTCATTTTACGAATCATTCACTAATATCATGCAAACTTGATTTTGCAAAAACGAAAATATCAAATAATAAAATATCCTATAGGGATATAAAATCTATAAATTTAAAACATCTGCAGGACAATATACATTTATTGTCATGGGATAATATATTTACCACTAATGACATCGATAAAAAAGTTGAGATACTAAATAAAAATATTTTGGAATTACTTGATATTCATGCTCCTGTCAAAACTATTCGCATAGGTAAAAAACCATATGCGCCATGGATTACTGAAAACATAAAATTCATGCAAAATCTAAGAGACAAAGCATTAAGAAAATTCAAAACTTATAGTACTCCAGCTAATTGAAGACCTTGGCGTGAAAAGGATGTATGCCACATACAATAATTTAAGAGAAATTAAATTTTAAAAATTATTTTAAATCCACAAAATCCAATTTATGTACAATTTATTTGATTTTAGGTATAAAAGATAAAATTGGTTATTTAGTATTCAACAATTAAAAAGAAATTAAAAAAAATACCGACCTTTTTTTCTAAGATTTATATGCTTAAAAAATATGGCTTGTATCCTTTTACATGAAAAAATAAACGGTATTCTAAAATAACACAACGATTAAAAATAAGAACTTAGTCATCACTTAAGGGGTAATCTTCATCCATATGTTCTATTTCGGTTGATGGTTCCTCAATTTCTTGACGAACGAAATTTTTGGCACCAATTTCCAAATAAAATTGATGGTTTATTTCGGGTATATAAGGTAGCAAAAGCGATAAGTTACTAAGTTTTTTCGGATTTAGTTTTATTGGCTCCGCATATTTCTGCTTAAGATAGTCTGCTAAACATTGTTTTCTGATACCTCTTTTTCCCACATTTACATTTTTAAAACTCTCATTTAGAAAATGTTTTATTTTCATTATATTTGGGCTTTCATTGTCGAACCTAAAGACACAAACTTTGCAGAAGGAAACATTTTCTTTTTCGTCCGTAAACTTTTTTTTGTTATAGTTTCTTCCAAAATTTTAAATGAAAAGAAGTCCTCTCTTTTAATTACTGTAACTTCAAAAGGATTGGTTCTCTTACACTTCCTTACTGCATCATACCAATCTGCTGGTTCATATACTGCCTTCATTTTCTTTTTATATTTTTCTATCATAGAAAAGTCTCTGTCAGACGGTAGATGAGTATGTCCTACTAATAAGAATCTATGCTCTACAGAATCGAAGACACCCTCTACCACCAACTGCTTCCACAAGCCAACCAAGACCCAGTTTTTATTCTGGCCTCCACAATTATCCGTATAAACGATGAGATTTTTAGGGAGGTGTTCTCGCTCTTTAAAATGTTTCAAGAGAATACTAGCAATTTCATCGCTGCCTCTCTTACCATTATTCTCGGACCACATATACATATAGCCCTTGTCATTTACGCAATCATGTATACCAAGATTGTATACCCAAGCCTTTCTCAGGTAAAAAGCTGGGCCCGTTGTTAAAGAAGGCACAGGAAGTGCTTGCTGAAGGTCAAATGACAATATATATGTATCTTTTGAAGCAGTCCATTTTATCTCATCTTTTAAAGTGTTTTTCATTGCTTCAGCTCGCCTTAAATGTAACTCCTTTTCTATCTATAACTGCTTCAAAGAATCTTGAACTCCTTTAAAGTTTTCAATTTTCACATCAAATTCGTCGCATATTTTGCAGGTGTCACTCCTAGGTAGTTCAGATATTTTATTATGCCGGTTCAAGTATTTTCCTCGTTGATCTGATTTGGGTGTTGTTAAGCCTTCACTCATTTGTTTTTGCAGTAACTGTAATCTCTTTTGAGAAGTAAGGCCTTACCCACATAGCACACGGACGTCTTATGGATGTCTAAAAGACGTCCTTCAGGGACATAAAGGACGTCCGAGGGACGTCCCATTAAGGTATTTTCTTTCCGCCAGCGGCTACCGCCAATACACATCACTTATTGTCATCTCAACACAAAACACTCACTGCACTTTATAACCACTTTACCACCAACATCAAAAAAATAACAAATAACACTATATAACCTTCTTTTTTCTTCGTTGAAATGCCTCACTTATATAAGTTAATTATTGAGTGCCGAAAATTGTAGCTGTGTTGTTCATTTAAAAATAAATGATAGGTTAGGATTTCTGTTGTCATACTCTTGCAAAAACAAAACGTTGAATTTCAAGTTATCGATTCAAAGACCAACGATGCTAGTACATAGAAAGTTCCATAGACGTCCCTTGGACGTCCCATTAACGTCCTGGACTCGGACCGAAAACTAAACGCTTTGTCGAAACGGGACCAAAATAGGACGTCCTTCTAAGGACGTCCTAGTGTTCACTGTAATCGGAAGTCCAGTGGACGTCCTATTTAGGTCCGGGACCAACCGGACCAACAAGGGACCAAATCAGGACGTCCATGGGACGTCCTGTGCTATCTGGGTAGATGGAAATAAATTCTTTTTTGCATATTTTCACATCGAATCCATTCACCTTCACAAAATAGTTGAAACTGAAATTCTGAGAAGAAACATTTTTCTTGGTTTTCTTTGGATATGACCGTTTTTTTGGAAGCCGCTTTATATTGTGGTATAAATACGCATTCTGTTTGTCGTAGTCGCCAATATTCCAAAATTCGTCAAAAATTTCCTTTTCCGTGCCTCGGAGCAATATCCTACAGTTTCTCTTGCATCCACAAGGTGGGCCTAAAACTCTTGCTTCAATATCTTTACCCGTTTTACTTGTATATGGTGAACCAAGATTTCGACGTGTTTTTCTTAATACAAATTTATCTACATTTTTCTTCCGCCACCTACTTCTGAATTTTTTTCTCAGGAGTTGGAACATGAGCACTGCATTTTTTAGTGGTTCCTGTAAATTAAAAGAAAGCGTAAGACTCTCGCGTGTCAGAAGTTCAACTTAATACTTGTCGACCCAACTTTATTTAACGATAAGCAAGTTGACAGTGAGAAAGCAAATAACTTCTCCCAAAGAACAAAAAAGCAAAAATTCAGGATTTAATTTTTCCAGAACAGCTATCCAAAATATCTAGATTTTCGATTTGACTTCAAATTCGTCAATTTTGATCCCAAAAATAGTCGGAGGAGTAGTTTCGTAAAAATTCCCAAAAAAGTATTAGACTTATCGTTACTCGTACATCCATGCGAATTTACTCTAACGCGCCCAAAAAAGTTTCTGGCACTTTGAAAAATAATCATAGCATACCCAAGAAGACAAAAACAGATTTAATAAAACTTCGGGAAAAGAATATATGCCACAAAATAAGCAACATGACTTGAAAAATTACGTCGCCAAACTTTTCAGTAAAAGGGTGTATGCCACATAACCTTAAACACGTACCTGTTGCTCTTCAAAAGATAACGAACTGTCCTCACTTTCAGTATAGTCCCTGTCCTTTACACTATCATCTGAGTCAAACTCATTGCTATTTTTGTCGCTTGAATCAGAGGAAAACTCATCAAAATCGCGAGAACACCCAGCACGTGTGTCACTCATGATGGTGGCTTGTAACCTTCAGGGTAGCCAGTTCCCCTGTAAATAGTTGGTAACAAGTTTGTTTGACCTCGACAGTGGCGCGCTGAGCGCGTTATGATGAACTATAATTCGGTACAGTCGGTAAAGTAGAAAACTACTAAGTAAAGCGATTTAAAAAATGGCGGGCTTTAAAATTTATGAAATTTGAAGTAATTTCAAGTAACATTTTCCTATTTTACAGCTTTTACTTACAATAATTGAAACAATCAATAAGTAAAATGAATTTTTATTGTAAGTAAATGCTGAAAAACGGAAAATGTCACTTGTTTTAAATGAAAAATAAAAACATTTGTAATAAGTTTATTTTATTTAGAATAGGTAACTATATCATTACATTATATTAAACATCATATTCACAATATGTTGAAAAATGTTCAAGGGTTGAAGTTAATTTAAAAATATACGTTTACACTAATCACGATTATTATTGTTATTAATATTATTATTTTATATCTATAAAATTACCTAATATCACAAAATTACACATTATCACAAAAAGTACACATTAAAAATAAATTGAGTTTACTACCTGAAATTTTTTTTATTATTCTTAAGCTCTATTGGGTGTTCCAGTGCCAGAGTTGCTAAAAAATAATTAATTAAGTTGAGATCAAAGTTTAAGAAAAATTTAAAAATAGTCACTTGTCAAATAAGTATTTAATTTTGTCATGAACTACATAATTTTAAGGAATAGGTAACTTTGGCATGTATAGAAATGATTTTAAAACAATAACAAAGACCAGTTGTTTTGAAATTTTGTTGGTTAGGTAACTCTGGCACTAAACCACTTTACTATCCCTTCACCCATCTATTTCGGTTCATTGTAGTTGCAATATCCATTCCAAAAATCTCCATACTCAGGAATAACTAAAACAAAAAAAAATAAAGGCGCAGTGTGTATCTTAAAATTAAACTAAAATTTTTAAATAAATTTGTTTCTGATAATTTTAAAGCAGTCTTAATTGTATTTTTAGATTTTAATAAACTATTTTTTAATTTTGAAATTTTGTTTTGCTGCTCTCGAT